TTACACTATATACTACTCCTAGATTTTGACCCCAGAAGTGTCCATTCACAATTGCAGACACTTACCTTTCACTCCTATATGTGAAAATACGTTTTAAACATTCAAATTGCTCCTTAATTGTATATATTGTATTGTCATTCCCGCTGACATGCAGCAACTCGGCACCTCTCTGTGGTGGATCCGGTGGCAGATGGAGGATTGGCGGCGAAGGAAGGGAACGGGTGCCAGAAGCCTGCTGAGCTCACGCTGGACTGTCAGAGCCAATTTGTCTCAGCGCCCCTGTGCACAGCGGAGGCTTGTGTTAGCACTTTGGAGATTCATGTCTAGAATGCAAACTAAGTACAGGACTTTCGTTCCAGTTTACCCTTTGTAAAAAATGTCTCTCTGAATTCAGAAACTGAAAAACACACATGTTAACAACAGTGTAGATGGATTAAGTTCCTAACCAGTGACATTTGTCATACAAATTGTATTAAGTTACATTGTTTTGCTAATGCAGAGACAAAACAATTCTAGTTCACCTGGTTCATGTTTTATATTTTCCATTTTATCTTCGTGGTGGAAATAAGTTTCCTACTGAAATGAAAGTGATGAAACAAAACTGATTTGCGTTGAAATAAATAGAAGACATGGGTAGATGTCAGTAATAAACACCACAGCAACTGAAAAGCAGGAGCAAAGATTTGCAGTTGAAAATCATATAAAACAGATTTAAAAAATTACAACCAAATTGTCTTTTTCAATTTTTTGCTATAAAAACTTGAACAATGAAGCAATTATCAAAAAGGTTAGATACATTTTTGAAGATGGATTAGAGTCCAAAACCCAAAGAAAAAAGGGAAACTGTAAATGTTTCCATTTGCAAGGCCGAAAACAGAGATTTGCTATAAATATGGCAATATTTACTAAATCATTAACTTCATTAACTGCTAACAAATTGTCAAAATGTGATTTTTTTTAACTGCTGCTCTTTCTTATAAACAAGTGAAGTCAACCTGATTTTGGTGTTTGAAATTAGACACTTTAAAAACATGTAAATAAAATGCAAAAAAAACTTTGAGTGCAAATGTACAGTTGAATTTATTAAATGATCAGAATCATAGTAAACAGTACTATTCTTTAGCAGTTAAAATTACCCGATTCTTTATTTTTTTATTTTCATTTAAATACCTTCAGGGTTAAAGCCTGGTGATTTTTCACAGTTTTCTTTTTGTCAACACATTTCATGAAAAGCCAAAACCCAACAATGACACAGTCCTATTAACAAGTACTGTCTGTGAATCCAAAGCGTGATGTATCTCATCACTCTGTGCCAAAAAGCTCCATTGTTGTTCACTGTAGGTAATTTGGAAGACAGTCCCACATACTGTACACTGTTGTGTTTCCACAAATAGCAGCAGAGCATCAAATGTGTGATAATACAGCACTGTAAACAGTCAACTAATTGAGACAGATTTACACATGATTTGTTAATAGCAAAAATATATTAACACCAGCCTTCAAGATAAAGGAATTCTCTTTGCATACTGCAAAACGTGACAGGAATATCAAATGCATGCTTGTTCCAGCACTTCACTGACGCTGCATCATGCTTCGACTGATTGAAATATTTCAATCCAGCATTCCGTCTCTTCATGCTGGCATCAATTCAGATGTGGATGATGTATTTTTGTAGGCCACCCAGAAGTTAGCACCAGCCTGGTTCCCTCTTTGGCAAAAAGCCAAAGGGATTTTCTCATAGACTTTTGGGTTATTGCAGAAAATGAGCTCTGTGACAAACAGTTTCCATCCATCCATTTTCTGTACCGCTTATCCTAACGAGGGGACTGGAGTTAATCCCAGGTGACACTGGGCAAGAGGCAGGGTCCACTCTGGATGGGTTGCCAGTCTATCACAAGGCTCACTCTTAGGGGCAATTTGGAGTCAGTTAACCAAAGATGCATGTCTTTGGACTTTTGCCATCAGCCTGATAGTCTGTCTGCAGACCTACAAGCTGTATAACTTTGTAATCACAACACATTCATTTTTATTCATTGCTTTCCTGCTTCTCTTTTTACACATACTAGTTAGCCTGTTTGGTATCTGAAGATCGCCTTTGCTGCTTTGTCTGTGTATGAAAAGTTTTTTCTATTACTAGGATTTGCTGTTTTTAGCCACACACCTGACATCTTTTAAAAGCCCTGGGTTTGAATAGTGCAATCCCTGTAACACTGATTACGTACTGACCTCTTTTGATTAGTCAGTGTGCTGTAAAGGTAACTTTTTGGTACCTGATGGTGGGCTTGCATTGCAACTGTGGATATTTGACTGTAGTTGGAGAAAAACCAAAACTGGCTCAGTCACTGCTGACAGGGCAAAAGGAAGATGTGAGATTTTGGTGTAAAAACAAAACTCACCCAAAAAAATATCCAGACAAAAGAAACAGAATAAATAGACTATAAAAATACCTAAACCTATTTTTGAAAAGCCCACATGGTATGAGAACATCTGAATAGTCAAAATTAGTCATAAAAATACAATCCAGCTAAGTCTTCACACAGTTTCTTTTAAATACACTTTGGTTGTGAAAGACAGAATAAACCAAATACAGAGAACTGTAAAAGAAAAGAGAACTTGAGAAGCACGATGTGAACTCAGTCAGCTCCTGACTTCTTGTCATTCCAGCTTCCTGAACGTGGACCTGGGATGTTAACACTAGATGGTGCTGTTGGGTGCCGTTTCCTCTCTAAGGGGTCTGGGGCGGAGATGTACATGGTGTTGTTGTTGCCACACTGAACTCCATTTACGTGGCTGAGATTAATGCTGATTGTACGTGGGACTGGCAGATCGCAGCGTAAAGTGTCAGGACTGGAATGCTGACGCTGCAGATATGAAGAGAGAAGAACAGCGATATGCTCAGAGTCACTGTCTCAGTGATGTCCTGTATTTAAATATAAAGCCAGTTTTTATTAGACAGCAGGCTTCGCCTGCCTTCAAGCATGGCAGTTTAGAACAAACACTTTGCCCTTCTAAATAGTCAGCCTTTCATTTTGTAAGGTGTATTTTCATTATGGAATAAATCTTTAACACAATCATACCAAGTAAAAACCCCACCTGGTACTGTGGAAAGAGGTTTTCCCTAAAAGCCGCCTGGGGAGCTTTTGTTCTGGCTTGAGGTGACCTTATCAAAGGAGATGATGGTGACGATGCAATGGGATGAACAGATGATACTTTCAATCTGTGGTCCTTCGATGAGTGGGTTTGGTCAACATGATGCACACTTGAGTGCTGAGGTGAAGGATAGTCTGAAAGGGGACACCTTCATGTGAAAACAAGCTGTGACAGAAGATTTGTCTGACTCACGATAACAGCAGCAGTTTGTACGTGGACACAATTCCTTTTTACCTTTGGCTCTTGCTTTGTCCCTTTGATTTGTAGTCCAATCACCAGCCATTTCCTGCAACAACAGCAAGTAAAGTTTGTCACTTGGTTGTTCATGATGTACCAGTGGCCTAGCTGACACGATCAAGCCTGTCTGTGGATTTCAACCTGTAAACTAAGGTTATAATAGGCTCCAACACTTCTTAAGAGTTATTTTAATGGGATTTAGGTTTTAGCTTCTTTTTGTGCTTTACACATTTTAACCCAGTTTTATCTGGTGGCATAGGGTAAGAGGTTAATGATGTCACATGTATATGAACCTGAATGCACTCTCACTAGTCACATTAAGGCGCCATACTTTACAATGCAAGTACAGAGGATTTTTTAAAGAGTCATAGAATAGAGTAGCTGATATGTTTGCAATAAGATATGAGCAAATAGACATTTAATTGAGCACTGTAAGGTTTAAAACATTTCCTCTCACTAGCTTCATTGCTTCTGTGGAATGGACAATAGGGGAATAAGTATTTACATCATTTACTAAGTAAAAGTACCATAGTATTTCTCTGTGGTTTCACAGAACAACTTATTGATCTGTGTTAGAAAGTGAATGAATAAACAATTAATTGTCATCTGTTCTTCATTAAGGAAACCTACACTGAGCCTTTTAAAGCTAATTTATACATTTTCTAAGTGTTAAAGATAAGTGAATGTCCCTATATCAGATACTCGGCGGATTGCAGTGTCAATCTGAATGTTCTACATCTCACCTGAACCGGTGGGCGTCCTGTGGGCACACTATCATAAATGTTCCCAGCTCCCACTCCGGCGTGTGCTGCAAGAAAAAACAATGGTATGACATTTGTTGACGAAGTCAGGGATTCTGCAGACAGAGTCAAGACAGTAGTTTCCCCTGTTTCTAATCAACTGCTGGCTAGCCTCAGAGTTAGCATACAGACATGACAGTATCAGTCTTTTCATCTTAAGTGAATAAGCATTCAGTCATGTAAATCTATAAAAGTAATTGAACCCCAAGATTTATTAAAAAATAGACCTGCAGCTTCAGTGATATGAACTCTCTGAAATTGCTCAGTTATTCTTTCTTCTTCATTTTGGTCCTGGAAATAGGAAGTGAAAGAGCAAATCAAGCATTTACGTAAACCAATAAAAACACCGATTTGCTGTGTCATTGAGTGTTTTTGGGGAGACTGGACACTTACCAGTCTCTTCAACACTTGATGGACGGCATCAACAACTGCATGTTTGTGCATCTTAAACACTTCTTCTGTTACAGTTGTACACTCTATGGACAACATAAAGAGATAATTCATGTTAAGGCCAGGCACGACAAACTATTAAAAGTGTAATAATCAATATTTGGTCAGTGATATAGTGAAAGGTTAATGATATCAAATGGAGAATCAGTGTGATCAAGTTTTAATCCTTAAAATATTAAAAAGCAGCTAATTTTAGAATCTTTCTGTTTTTGTTTCTCCTACAGTAGCAATGCAGCTGTTAGGCAAGTATAAAGTTGACCATGCTCACCATCTCAGTTTGTTTTGCAAGTATTTAGTCATCAACCAAAGTGGTGGACAAATAGTTTGTTGGATAAAATGTTGGCAGAATGTCAACAATGGGGTGGTACTAGAAGAAAAATCTGCATTATTCTTCCTTTGGGGTCCACAATGAGCTATTGAGATATTTTATTGTGGATGAAGCTGGTGAACCTAGCAGCCTATATACTATATATTATATTCATTCATCTCAAGGTATTCTGTGGTTTCAACCACTCTACTTTGTGGTAAAGTAGGTCGCTCTCTTACCACGGGAGGTTGGCCTTTTGTCGACTCGTTCCTCCCAGCACGTCGCCATAAGTTCGATCAGTCCTGTCAGTCCCGCACACCCTGTAGCCTGGCAGCTGATTTCCTTCAGCGATGGACGGTCTCCCCGGGGAATTCGAAGCCGCACCACACTGGACAGTGCATCTAGAGTAGAGGAAGGGTCAAAGTGAAGTTAGAGTGGCATTAAGGTTAGAAAGCCATGTACATGGAGGGATGTTTACCAACCAGGAAAAGCAGGCGAGTGCCCAGGGGCCCCACTATCAACTATGACAGATATTATCCTTTATGGGCCCCCTGGTGAGTTTAGGCCCTGGATCATCCTTCCCCCCTGCACCTCCATAAAACATTGCTGTTTCATTGTGCATAAAACATGAGATAGACTGAAGATGCTCTGAGTAAGTTGAACATGACAGAGAAGCTATGAAAAGCAGTTTAAAGAGACATTATAACTCACTTGGATATGGTTGTTTCCCCGTGACAATGGACCACAGTAGGATGCCATAGCTGAAAAAGAGACACGCCAGGATCATTAACGAAATCATAACACTTACAGTAGTAGTAGTTGTAGTTCAAGTAGGACATTTAATAAATGCATTTACTAAATACAGGACAAAAGACCAAAGGGGCTCAACCTGATGACAAGAAACAAGAGATACCAAAAGGCTAAACTAAGCAGTTTGGTCAGGGAGCTGACTAAAAAGTCAAACTGGAAAAAAAAAAACAAAGAACTGGTGACAGGCATAAAGCCAATATCTAATAAACAAGCCAAACTAAACCAGAACAAGAAACATGAAAGAGATTCAAGGCTTACATGAACAGGCAGGGTGTTGGGAACAGACATGGCAACCAGAAGGAACCAGCAAGAGGCTGGAGGAAAGGAGGAGAATATATACACAAGAGAGAAGAGCATAATGAGGGACAGGTGAACATGAGTGGTGATAGCAGTAAAGCTGGGACAGGTGTGGGGACAAAGGACAGGAAGTCTAACCAAAAGAAAAGCACCAAACAGGAAGCTAATCCACAAACCATAACAATTTTTCCCTTTAATAAAAGTCTAAGTTACATCAGTATGGTCAAGTAAACCCTGTCCAACTACATTTATGTGTTGTTATTCATTAAGTACAACACAATATTCCAAGCCAGGTTCAGTTCTCCTGTACCTGTAAATATCAGAGGCTTTTGTGGGGCTGTACGATAAGCTAAATGCTTCCGGTGGCATGTAGCTGATTGTCCCCCCTTCATCTTTGCAGTTCTTCTTGGAAGCCCGTGTGGCGCTCTGGTAAACCTGGGCTAGGCCAAAATCTGTAAGCTGAAGAAAATGGAGAATAGCCTAATTAAATTACCATAGAGAGGAAGCAAGCCATTGGAGGAAGAGAGAAAGTCACACACAGAGCACTAGGTCAAATGTGACAAAACTGCCAGACTGTTCCACAAAGACGTAATGTCCATGTAACATTAATAAACTTTTACTCTTGTGCATGTAGACAGATAAGAACCTATGAACTTGTAAATAAATATGAATTTATACATTCAAATCTTTCAAAGAGATACATTCTGTTAGTCCAGTTTTGTTTCTCCTAATTAATATGTTGCCTCAGTGCAGTGGTTCTGTGAGCTACATGCCAGTATCTGAGCCTAGACGTTGTCTCTTGTAAATTATTGTAGTGCTAAAACTCTTTCACTGCCTTTTCTGCTTGTTACCTAGTTGTAACATGTTTACGTCACTCTCAGCTTCCATTCAACCTCAGTAAAACTTACAATACCATTCACAAAGTGCAAACTAATAAAAAGTAGGATAAACATGCAGAAAGATGGCCTTTCCTGGAAGCTTTGGGCTTACTTTAGCTTTGAGATGGCTGTCCAGAAGTACATTACTGGGCTTCAGGTCCAGGTGGAGCATGGCAGGGGAGAGACTGTGGAGGAAGTTTATACCCAGCGCCACCTCATGGGCTAGCCTGCAGACCAGTGGCCACGGTGGAGCTCCACCTAAGTTCTTCTGTTGGAAGATAGGAGTGTGTAAGCAATAGTGTCTGTACAACTATGCTGGCACCTATGTGAGGCTTTATTTAGGCACTGCAGCGATATGAGCTAAATACTAATGCCAGCATGCTATCATGTTCACACAGACAATGGTTACATGTTGATGTTTAGTAGCTTTAAATGTGTACCATGTTAACGTTTTTAATTTTATGGGGTAGCATGCTAACATCTGCTAATCTGCTCAATACCCAAAGTACAGTTGAGGCTAGTGGGAATATTTTTGACCAGATATTTAATCATATAAAAGAATGCCTCAAGTATCAATACTGTTAATATTAATTCTATGTACTGGAACAGATCTGTGCATCAGACGTACAGAGTCAGTACAAAATAAAATAGATCCATTTGCTACTCATGTGCAGGGCGCATAGTGCTGCACTTCCTGCTTCTCTGCTGCAGTTGTGTACACACACAAAAACATAATTTATTCTAATAACAAAAAACATTTTTGTTATTTACATTAAAACTGTGTTTTAATGTGCATGTTATGAATTAACAATATTTTGTCATTCCATCCACTAGAACCACACACACTATCAAAAAATCAAAAGAAGGAATTTTTAAGCAGGTAGGTAGATAGGTATGGAGATTACCTGTAAAGATGCCACTGATCCTCTCTCCATGAATTCCATGACCAGACCGAGCTGCTTTGAAGGCCCAGAGGAAGGCGGTCGACCCTGGTAGATCCCAAGGACCTGAATAACATATGGGCTGCTCCCTTGACGCATCATGCTGACCTCATGCAGCAAAGATGAACTGCTCCTGCGTGTGTTTGTTTGTGTTGTCAGTAATTTACTGTTCTTTTAATTTTAATATTAGTAAATTGCTGTTCATTCCAACTACTCACCCGTCATCATAATGAAGCAGTTTAATAGCCACATCGCAGCACCACTGCTGATGCCTGGCTTTGTGGATTTGTCCAAACCCTCCAGAGTCAATCACCACCCAGTCCCTGAGAATGGAATCTGCAATCAACGCTGGTTGTGGACAGCTTGTCAGTGCCATAGTTCACTAGAGGGGGAAATTATTCATGATAAAAATTATAGGCCTGAAAGAATGAAATTCATTTTTTCTCCAGAACAAAGTGGATCCCAGTTGTGAGACTACAGAAGTTTCCTAATTAAACTTGGTTAATTTGTTTTGTGCCCAGTTTTGCCAAAGAGTCTCTTAAATTCTAATTCAATCTTGTACATAGTTGTGTAGTCAGATAAAAAAGTATTTGTATATGTACAATGCCCTGTTTTTGTAACAAAATACGTAACTTTCTAGGGTGTTTGCTTTTCAGTTTTTTAAAATAACAGGATTTATTTTAGTTAGTCAGAATTATGCATGCACTGTTCTTGATCAAATGAAGTGATCAAAATGGCTTTGAATTGTAGCATTCTTGTATAACACCATGTATTAAATTGTCTTGTCTTCATTATCAATAATGCTATATTATTCTAACTTGTGTATTTTTGTACAATGCTTTGTGTTTTTAAATTAAGAGTAAAATAATTCACTGTATAAATTCCTGTGAGTCATATACAAATAACCATATTATTAAAATTGAAATATATAGATTGTTGCCATGGTTCAGTCCCGCTGGCTTCTGGCATCATGCTTTTATTTTGTTATCATTTCCTGTTTCCGTCCCCCCCCGAGAGATTCAAGGCTTACATGAACAGGCAGGGTGTTGGGAACAGACATGGCAACCAGAAGGAACCAGCAAGAGGCAGCAAGAGCCCCCCCCTTGTGATTCCTGATTTCTGCCTTACCCTCCTGTTACCGTATATTTTCTGTGTAACAGCCCCTTGGCTGTTAGTGTTTGCCAGCATTGAACTTGGACTGTTATTTTGACTTGGAGTGTATATGTGGACTACTGTATTGTCTGCTCCTCCTGTGAGTTGTTTAGAGGGAACTAGACACTCATTCTCGTCTGGCATTATAAGAGAGTCCGCCATTAACTGACAGATTGTTCCCTCAGTAAATTCATTGTTTAGTTCATAAATTGACAGAAAGTAGTGAAACGTGCCCATCACTAAAAAAAATCTTTCCCTGAGTCTATGCTGATATCTTCAAATATCATGTTTCCTGTTTAGAACAATATATAATCTAAACATTTCACCACTCATAAAAAGGAGAAAAACAGGAAATCCTCATGTGTGAGAACCTGAAACCATGCAGGTTGAATTAGTGATAAATATTAATATAGGATAAAGCATTTTCTCTACAACCTAAAGTCTAAAAATCCTTCTTCAGTGGCTCTCCCCCTCAAAACTATTGTTTTCTGGTCAGTCAGTGTCAGGAAGTAAACAAATCTCTTATCGCTTTTACTCACCCAAAAAGTATGTTCAAAGTGCCTTATATTTCTGTTTAAGCTCTGTTCTTATAATCACACACACCCACAGACAGGAAGCCACATGTTTGTTTCTCAGGGTACTAAACACAAAACAGAAAGCCCTGAGTGGACGAAATAATAGAAACCCCTTTCAAATGTAACAATACAACTTACTACTATAATAACAAACTTTATGACACTTCCGGTGTTCATTTTCTCAATGTTGATTCACTTTGTGCTGCTGTATTAGATATTAATGCACTGTAACATTAGTGAAAAGTTACCTACTTTTTGTCCACCACCCCGAACACTAAACTCTTACTGTTTTAGTTCTAAAGTTAAAGTTAGAACTTCTAAATATTCTGTGTTCTGTGTTCCTCTGAGCCAAAACAATAACATATGAATAAAAGGATAACAATAAAGATAGGAACTACCATGAGGTGTGACCATTTTCTGATCAAAACAATACTATTAAACACTCATAACAACATTAAGGTGATTTTTTTAAAAGGGGGAACCACTCACCCTTAGGGATATACCCTTCTTCCTCATCATTCAGCCAAACCCGAGGTGGTAAATGTGTAAAAAAAACCCTCTCCTGCTCATTCAGTGACTCTCTACTAGCAGCAGCGGCATTAGCAGTAGCTGTTCTTGTTCCAGCTATGCGGGCAAAAGCAGAAGTGAAAGTACTGCCCAGGTTCAACCCAGAAATCTTTGTTTTACTTCTGCTTCTCAACTGCTCAGCAAACAGGCAAGTGTGTGACGACAACAGCCTTCTTTCTCTAATTCTAATCACTTTGTGTGACTTAAAGGCTATTAATGTATATGTATGCTTGTATATATGAGTGGATTTTAGTTATTTAATTTGTGTGATGTTTTTATAGATAGGCTCACATAGAAAGGACAACTGACTAAGTAAAATGAACAATTCAAGTCATTTTTAAGATTACTTTTAATAGTTACTTGCTATGTGTTTTTTATTCTCATATCACAAGTACAGGCTCTTTTATCCAAAGGTTTACTAATGATATCATAAAAGGGATCTAGAAAAGTCAATAAAGACTATTTAAAATATTGTCAGCAGAGGGAATATTCTGTAAAATGACTTACAGTAAAGGGGAAATTATTTGCTTGGTAATAAACAATACCTGAACAAAATAATACCTGAAACTGAGGCACCTGTACAGTCTAATGCAATCAAATACTATTGTTTTGCTATAAAATCCACTTTGATTACGTCTGCACTATATAAACTTATTACGTAATCCTTTGAGTGTTTTTTATTGACAGTCACATGATGTGGTATCAGAGGTTGTGTGTGTGCTGAAGTGATATCACCACAAGTTTAAGGGAAACCACTTATTTTACACATTAAAGTCAGGTGTTTCTGGTACTGGGGAGTACTACTGTATATGTGAAACACTGGATGAAGCCTTTGGAGAGTAGAAAACTACAAGTTTAGTCCAAGCATTGTGGGTAATGTAAGCACTAGTGTTTTGACAAGAAATGAGAATTTGTGGAATAAATAAGACATCTCTAGTTCTGTTGCACTGATTTTGGTGCATTGTTAATGTATCTACCAAGAGTTGACCATTTACTCTGTTGTACCCGGTACTTTTTACCATACTGACTCTGAGAGACGAGGCAGTCCAAGTAACTACAAAACAGTGCTGATTTATTCCATGAACACAGGCAAAAATTAACATTACACGCTCAGGTATCTTGCACCTCCAACCTGCACGCAGGCAGATGAAAGATGAAAGACCCTGAACCCACCAGACCTATACATTATATCCCCTCAGTTGGGCTAGCCCCATACTACACAGAAACGTCAACCGAGAGACTAACTTCAGCTTAGCAGTACACAACATTTATATGAAAAAATGTTACTATCTGATTGGTCCAAACTGTTGGGGAGCAGTTGTGGTTTAAACTTAACTCTCCCAAGATTGGTCCTTCAGTCCGTCCATCCTCCAATCATCCTCTCTGCTCCAATGGTCGTGGACAGCGCCCTAAAAAGGGAAGAATACCTATACTGTCTTAATTCCTATATAGACACTTACGTCTTCCTTTGTTTCCAACTAACTGCTACATTTTAGACATTGCTCTCCTGTTCCAATAAAACTGCTCTGCCTGTGTGTTTATATTGCTTCCTCGTCCTGGGCTCAGATCTAATCTCTGTTTCAACTATTCAAGGAATTCCAATAAACTATAGCTCCCCCGTCCCATTAGCGAGGTGGTGGTAATAAAGTATCTGTGGACCCTCTTTGCTAAAGCTGTAAATCTAATGAGATTTCAGTGTTTTAGTGAACCAGTCTCCCTTGATGTTAACCAGGGCTCCAGTTGGCTAACACAATATACTGACCAATGATTCAGTGAACACATAGGGTGATATATAGATATGTAACTAAATAAACATAAACACAACTGTGAGATTAAAATATATACACTTATGTATGCTATATAATAAAAACCCTAACTAATTATATTCTTTTCTATCTAAAAATGAAAATCACCCTAACATGTGTGTGTGTGTCTGTTGATTAAGTGGTGTGTAGCTAAAAACATTCTCATGGCCTCTAGTACATGTCGTGACTCAAACATAAGAACATATTATGGCTAAGGCTACGGTTATACACGTCATAATAATAATATTAAACACCCTGTCTGCTGACAGTCATCAACTCTTCTCTCTAGTTATCCTTCACCAGATGTACCCTGTAGAAACTCATAAGCATTTAACAGTCTAACTAGACATCCTATCTCCACTAAACATTTCTAATACATAAAGTATCTATCCAATTTCTATCTGACTAAAAATACCTAACAACTCCAAAGGATAAACTGGTGTTTCCTATGTTTATGTTAGTCAACTAATCCTGTAGCTCACAAAGTTATACGTGATTTTCTTACCCCTGCTGGGCACTGTAAATTTTAATACATAGCACTCAAACTGAAGTAAACTGTGTTGTTGGTGGGGACTATTTTCAGCCACAGATTTATTCATAGTGAATAGAGCAAAATAAACTACAGAACCAATTTTCGTGGAAATGAAGGAACATGTCACGCTACAGTGATAAAACCTCCTTCTCGGTTTTGGTCTTTTGTTGACATTAAGGAAACTACATACTATCAACAAATTTAACTTTTACAGTGCCACAACTGGATCCAGTTCCTTATTTGACCACTTGATGTTAAAGTTTTACCCCCAACAAAACAACAGGATGTAGTGTGGGAGGCTGCATTTCTTTTCCTGTCTTTGACATATTCAAACTCATTTTTACCCTAGCACCAAGGAGGGGAGATTTGGAAACCTTTTGTACACAGAATAACCTTAATAAATCCATTTCTACTGAGCTAAATGATGTTATAGGAGAAATGGGAAGTGTTCCCAAGCCCCCCCCTATAAAAACTGGTTTGGTACTGACAAGTGCAGCAAACCAGCACTTTAAAAAAAAAAAAAAAAAGCCAGAAAAACCCCGCTTCTGACGTCAGTGGAAATTCCCTTGACAGACAGTATGACAAGTCAAAAATTTTAACAAAATTTTACAGGTTATTAATATAACCTGCACTTTAAAAAAATGTCAGGTATGATTATTGAGAGCAATGACAATAATAATAATGGTGAACAGTAGGTTAGAAAAGCCTTAAACATTTGGGGGCGTGAGGACACAGGTGAGAGTCCATAGATGCATTTTGAGTATTTACAGTAGGGTAATTCTAGGAATAGGATATTATAAGGTTATGCGAGCGATACAGGGACCTAAACGTACCCAGCCTGAGGTATCCACCCTGCCCTTGCGATAAACACTTTGTGTCTTTAGTTTCGTTTTTGTCTCCCGTTGTGCTACGATGTTTGCGACGCTTCCTTATCCGCCACAGCAGCACCAGCTTATTGTTCCGTGATCTCAAGCCCACTTCCTCCTAGGACCGATCCCTTTGTGGCATTACACAGTGTAAAAACTGTGAACTTTGGACTCGTACATGTTGCTTTATGATTGCGAAAGACTGAAGCGACTTGTAATGCCTCCCTGTTACAAGATAAGGCTGATGCTGAAAACGAAACTTTGAAGGCGCAGAGCGACCGACTTCACGTAAGAAAACGACATAGAAAATGATATTCAGAATTATTTTAGTGACCTAGTGTTCTGTCCTAACACTCGGGTTGTTCTGTGTTTCTTGCTCTGTCTTAGAAGGAAGCAGAGCTGCTTTTATAAAACCAATAGTCAGGCAGTTGGCTGTTTGTTACGCTTTGTACCAAACGTCTTATCAGAGGCGTAATTTCATCTGCTTGTGGACAAGTTGCAGAAGCAAAGGTTATTATATGAATATACTAAAGTAGGAATGTTGTTGAACTACAGCACCAAAATACAAATCAAACAGGTTGCTGGTGATGTCAGGACATTAATAACAGGGGTATAAACGGAGAGACAGGCGCAGTGTTTACATGGTGGAGTTTGCAAAGTGGTGGAGGTATTTGTACTTTACTGGAATATTTCTACTCTGTTACATTTATGATGTACTATTTAGTCTACTACATTCATTTGGCAAGTGTTACTTTTCAGTTTAAGCCCTTAGGGCTTGTGTTACATAATAAAAACGTGATGGTTTATTGTTTATTGGGCCAGGCTACAGCTTTTCTTCCTGGAGCCCATATAAACACTGTTTGCACTTATACTTATGCAACAACAACAGTGAAGTTACAACAGAAACACTGCATCTAACAGTAACCAGTCACACAGTTTGTTTTTGTTTTTTTTTTGGTCAAAGTGTGTAAACATGTTCTAACAAATAGGTCTGTGTGAAATGTGTTTTTTGCAGTATGTTCGACTTTCTGCCACTGATTTAACAAGGGATGGATGGTGAGAGAAGTGATGGAGGTGGAGATCTGGAGGTGGAAGATGAGTTTGCATGTGCTGGAATGCTGCGGGGATCTCTGACCTGCCTGCATAGCACTGTGGAGCGGATATTTAGGGTGACATTTGGGATCGGGGCAGACGATTTGCCCCACGGCAACAATGGGCAGATATGGCTGAAACTACGAGGGCCGAGCAGCGATGTGAAAGCTGCCAAAGTATGACATATTCCCTTGTTTTATAGTTCACTGTGAGTCAGTTCTTTGGGCGATGCTGCCCAGCAGTCTGTTCCCACAATGCTGTAGCCATTTTAAATGAATATGAGTTGTATGTTTTTCTGTTGTTCTTGTCTTTTGGTGCCATATTTGAAAGCTCCAAAACAATTGGACCTTGAGCTTGTTTTGTCAACTGCTGTTTTCAGTGTCAAGAATGAATTGTCCAGTGTAAACTGATTTGCCAAGTTTAACCGATATTACATGGTCACCGCTACAGACAGAAATAATTAAAAAAATATATTAACTGCAAAAAAAATATTTCTTTTGTTTTTTTAGTTATTTGTGAAGGGACTGGTGAACCAGGAGGAACAGCAGGAGCTTTCATATCCTAGCACCCTTCATTGTGTCTTCTGTGGAGCCAGAGGGCTGTTCTTGGACTGTCTGATCAAAAGCACCTCAGCACATATAGTGGTGGGTCAGGATCTCTTTTTAGACAACATTCATGCCATTTAGATGTACGAAAAGAGAAGGTCACAATGCAGAAACTAGGGTTGGTGTAATGATACTGACTAATAATGTGATATCTTAAGATTACATTCTTGTTATTGCAGAAAAATCACACTCTTAGTCAATATCGCTATTATGTCATCAGCTAAAAATACGTTACACTCTTTATGGAGTAACACTGTATCTGTGATGTTGTCACTGGGATTTTTTTATGTATTAGTAACATATTTGGTTAGAATGCAAACATACAATTCAGGGAAATTTTAATACCAACAACTTTCTTTTTCACTATTAGTTTACTACTTGCAGCTACAAGTTCCTTGGAAATTCCTTAATAATGTATCTTGATTTTGCCTGATTTATTTCTTCAAATTCTCTGTATCATAATTTTTGAATAGGCAAATTGTGAACCTTAACTGAGAATGTTCCATATTACAAATAATAATATTTAATAAGGGAGTTATTTACTTCTTTAGCCTTTGTGAATAAAGCACAATGCAGTCAGTTTATTAAAGACTGCTATCATTCAAATACATGTTCAGTTATATTTTTCTTTTGCTGTATTATGTGGACCAAGATTAATGTCATTCTGTTTTCCTCTTAACAAATCAGGTCGGCTCCCCAGGATTCCTGCTTATATCTGGCCTGGCAGAACCGGTAGTGCGGGCCTACTCTCTTGTTACAGAGCTGGTTAAGAGGTATGAAGGGACACAATGCAGACGCTCTGAGACTGGAGACAGAGGCGAGTCCCTGGATTCACGTCGGACCTTCAAAACTCTGGTGGAGAAACGTGAGGACAGGCACATCCTGGATCTTCTGGTGCTTCCAGGGGCAGTCAAGGAAATCCTGCTGGATTTGGTGAAAGAATCAGGACTTGGGTTAAGCCCAAACCTGACAGGCAGAAATGTGAGATTACATGATGAGGCAGAGGATAGATGGGACAAATCCTCCTCCATTACATGCACACTGCCTGAGCCTTCCAGCACTACTGATCGTTGGGTTGAAGGGATGAATGTGGTTCCACGAAAAGAAGCTGCAGCCAAGGACTCCTTCCAGTCTTTCTCCATGTCTGCAGGATCCCGACCGAGAGCAGAGGGTGCTGAGGAACGGATTATGCATTCTCCACAGGAGGTGGGAGAAGATGAGCAGGCAGAGCAGATGCAAACAATAGATACCAAAGAGAAAGATGGGCTGGGGGAGGTGGAAGAGCTGGAGTCACAGTTGTCAAAGGGAAACAAGGAGTTTTGGCTCCTTTTGAAGTTCTTCACAGCCATGGGGTACACAGAAGATGTTGTGAAACGAGTGCTTGCTCAAACCGGTCCCAAAGAGGCCTCGCAGATATTGGACTTAGTTCAACAGGAACAAGATCGCAGCGACACGGAGCAGATAATTCAGGGTGCTGCAGGCCCAAAAAATCAAGATGGTGTTGGCCTGAATCAGAGGGAGAGCAACCGACCTTGTGAGACGGAGCACAGAGAGGATGAAGAAACAGCATCAGGAGGAGAAAGGGTGATTATTAGTAAGGAGCAGGTGGAAGAGATTTGTGAGGGAGGGGGTGGCGGAGCGACAGGAGGCACAGGACACTTTCAGGGAGAAGGTAGTGCTGATGAAAAGGAGGGTGGACAAGATGAAGACTTTGTCCTGGGAGTGGTGAAGAAAGCTGCAGCCAGCTGCGGGTACACAGAACAGAAAGTAGCCGAGGTCTACAGCATGTTGCCTGATCGATCCACACACCAGCTGCTCCTGGAGCTGCAGAGAGAGGAGATAAAAGAGACAGAGCCATTCAGGGAGGGCCCAAGAGAGATGGATGATGTGGTGCTGGAGATAGAGGGACCAAAATTTGATGATGATGATGAAGGATGGGTAGAATTGTTAAAGCTAAGTGCACCTTTTGCACAACCAGATTTGTCTGCTCAGAGTAATAAAGCCCAGCAGCGACCCACAATTCAATACACTTCACAGCCTCCACACCAACTTGTCCTGTCTGAAGTCAAAGGGCCGCCCATGCGTACATATCCCTCATCCCTAGATCCTCCACTTTCTCATTTCCAACATGTCCAATGCAATAAACAGTATAGCCAAAGCAGCCACTGGACTAATCCATCCCCCTCAAAAAAAAATCACCCAACTCCTGACAATGCCCCAAAGCCAAAGCCGCCAGTTTTCACCGTTAAAGACTCATCTCCCATCAGAGCGAAGGAAAGGCATGGTGTCACGCCTGCTTCTTCAGTTGTGGTGACAGGGGAGCAGCGTTTCCTGGAGGGACTCCAGACACCCTTTGACCTCCAGCTAACAGATAAGCCTGGAGACCCAAAGCTGAGGGAGATCATTATTGATGGGAGCAACGTGGCCATGAGGTGGGAATTACAGAGTGAGAAAACTTATGTGAGAAAAATGATGTCCTTATTAAAATAACTGCAGATACATCTTAGGATAGTTAACTGACTTTGCAGCTCTAAAACAAAATGTGCTCTAACAAAATCTTTTTCTAATTTTTTCATCAGCAATTTGCTAAAGCCACTTGTATCTTAGCCGATGACTGGTTTTGTTATAAAACTTTACATGTATATGTGTTGTGTTGTCCACAGTCATGGGTTGGGTCACTTCTTCTCCTGTCGAGGAATCGCTCTCGCCATCCAGCACTTTTGGGACCGAGGCCATCGTCAAATCAGTGCCCTCCTGCCCCAGTGGAGACAGAAGAGTGATCCCAGGATCAAAGGTAACATTTCTTCTTCTTCATAGAGTATTTTAAACTTAAAGCTACAGTATGTAACTTTTTTCCAAATACGTTTGTTGTAGAAATCTGCTCCAAAACTTGTCTTAATGTGGAGATGTGCTGTCGAAGCCTGTGTCCCAGATTCATTGAACAGAACTGGCAGCAGTGCCGAGATGTTAGCTTCTAAAAGGTTTTGAGTCGGATTGACTTCTCTAAACAATCAGAAATTGTTAATTATTTCTGCCTGATGAGTAAGCTTTGTTACATTCTCATTTTTTGTAATTTCATAACGACAAATATCTGAAGAGCTGGGCAGAGCGTGGTGGAGCAGGGAGACGGAGTGCTGGGCGGAGCAGAGTAGGTTGATTTGGAGTTTTGTGTTAGTGCTACCTTAAGTTACATACTGTAGCTTTCATATCTGTGGTTAGTGTGTAAACTCCTGATTATTTTATTTATCACAGTAAGAGAATTCATTTGGTATTTAAATATCGGAAATGTGCGAAAATATCTGGTAGAAATTCCAAAAACTGAAGTTGATGTCTTCAAATAACTTTATTTGTCTTATCAAGGGTCCAAACTCCAAAAATGATCATTTATAATCACAGGTAAATAAAGAAAACAGCAGCTTCTCACATTTGAGAGGCTAGAAACAAGGGGACTTTTAATCAGCTATCTAAATAGTTACCTCGTAATTTTTTGTCGATCAGCTAATAAACCCCAGGCTGTTTTCCAGAACTGCTGTATATTTAAAATACTGTAGTATACAGATAATGTAAAGTAGCCTACACAATGCAGAAACACTACTATACCTTGAAATAAAAGAGAAGTGCTTTGTTGACTTTGTGTGTGAGTTATCAAGAGAGAATGAGTTGATTAAATTGAATTGATTCAGGGTCACATGTAAAGGAAAATCAAATAAGAACTGGAGAACGTGTGAGTGTGTGGGTGTACATTTTCCCTTTAGCGCAGACTAAACATAGAGTTGTGTTTTCCCTGCCTCTCAGAGCAACACTATCTGACTGAGCTGCAGAAGCTGGGCCTACTCTCCTACACACCTTCCAGAGAGGTTCAGGGTAAGAGGATCAGCTCATACGATGACCGGTAGGTGCACTCCCACCTAAAATGATGTCAGCGTATAAACAAAAGTTACTGCTTTCACCCACTGGAGTGTAACATCTGTGTGAAAGTGAAATCTGTACGACATGTTAATTGTTTCCTGTATGTACTACATGCTAATCATCATCAATTTGTATACAAATACATCAAAACACTTTACCGTGTCATACTAACAGATGATGTGTGATGTCAGCTGTCAAGTTCAGAAGCACCTGCTGCTTCCTGTCTGTCAGAAAGATGGTTTCCTGTAGTCAGTGATGTCCTGCAGGCCTCCCCATACTCCATACTTTTAGCACTTCTATTTATTTTAAAAACAACCACTGTGAGGAGCCAAAGACTTTCATATCTTTTCATGTTTCCATAGATTCATGCTGCAGCATGCGCAAAGGACAGATGGAGTGATCGTAACTAATGACAATTTGAGAGACCTCTCAGATGAGTCCCCTGTGTTCCGAGACATCATCAAAAAGAGGTATAATAGGATGGCTATTAGGATGGTAGTTGCAGCCTTATTTTGGATTGTACTCAGATTGTAAATGCACAAAATGCAGTTCTACTGTTCTGGTTTTATTCATCTAATCAGGGAGATTTTACACTTACTTTCCATGATATGTAAGAAAATGATGGCTTTGACATCTGCATGTATCAACAAACTGTATTTGTCTACTTTTTCACTCCAGTACCTGTATAATTAAAATATGTCACTAGATTTAAAACAGTTCCAACATCTTTGTCAACCTTTCTCTGAATAAATGCATCTGTGTATAAATAAGATATTTTATGAAGCTGAATTTTTTGTCTCTTGTGGAAAAGCTGTTTAAAGGGCTAGTCCTCTAATTATAGTGGTATGTTCTCATGTTGCCACCCCAGACTTCTTCAGTACACGTTTGTTGGGGATCACTTCATGGTACCAGATGACCCTCTGGGGAGAGGAGGGCCTCACCTGGATGACTTTCTACGTTCCGAGCACAGGTTTTACTGCTACAAACACACACACACACACACACACACACATACACACAGAGTTTTGGTTCCTTCCATGTGTGCTCTATTAGTTACCTTACTGTGTGTTTTCTTAGTTTTGTTCTTTGTTTCCTCTCAGGACTCCTGATGTAGGAAACCACTCTTTTGCTGGTAGCGCCACCAATTTTCCTCCATCCAAAACACTGCGCTCCCAAACAGAGGTCATGAACTTCCGTGACCGAACACTGGGTGTTGCTCTGGATGCAGCGAATGGAGGGGGATGGGGTAAAGGTAGAGGGCATCGAAGAGGACGGGACATGGGACACCAGCACAGGGAGCATGAAGCTGGAGGTCCTGGCCTGGTGTTAAATACATGCAGGACTCCAGAGGAAACAGCCAGACTAAGAGAGCACCTCTGTCAGATTTTTCCCGATCAGGACAATATGGTGATGCTAGTGCTACAATGCCACCCAGAGGAGAGGAACATCAATGTCCTGTCTGATCTAATCTTGAAGCAGCAGGAGGAGTAGACATCTTTAGGTTTTCCCTGGTTTATTTCTGTCTTTTCTTACATTGACGTTGCCCTAATTTTCCCACCAAAGCAACTACAACAAGCAAACCAAATTATTGGTGGAACTGGATGG